GGAACATGCTTCAGTTACACAGATTTTTCTGTTTATATTTGCTATCTATAACCTTTCTTCTAGTGCTATCAATGGGTTCTAAATATAGGTCAATGTTAGCAGCAAAAAGAAATCAAATTATTGAAGCTAAAGTGATAGGTTTAAGAGAGTTCATTGTATTATTCACTCTCGGTTGAGGGTTATTGAAATTTTAAAAAAGGAAGTCTATGAGTATATGCCCTCAACTACCAATGACTCTTAACTCCTATGAGTTATTTTTGTAGATTGATCCTGCAGTTCCTTCATTTTCTTAATAGGCCCACTGCTTTTTCATAGGACAGATTTTTAAGATCAACCCCACAGGAGTTTTATCTGATCCATCTACACTATATGTAACAGAAATGCCTTCAAGTTTCAAACATATGGAAACCTATAATCCCTCCTGCTTTCTCATGGTAAACAGTTCCTTGGTTTCATATTCTATCTCAATAGGAAACTGAGGGAGGAATAAACAGATATCTGTACTTACATCATATCTCAGAATCTGGGCATATTTGGATGTGCAGAGCCAAGCAGATAAGGAACCTACCCTGACCCAATGCCAAATTTAAGGAATTAAATCTAGCACATTCGGCCCATTCTTTGTGGTTTAATTTCCTTCACTCTAACTATGTTCTTATCAATGTCTTTAAACCTTTTCTGCTTCTCCATTCTTTTACTAATCTTAAGCTAAACAACTCTAATTCTAGATGAATCTAACTAGCCTTCTTTCCTCCCATCCTAGATTCCTCACCTTGAACCCTTTATTCTTCCTAGACAACCTTACTTCTTATTTCATATACACACACAAAACAGAGACCATCCAGCAGAAAATTCCTCAATTTCTTGCCCCCATCCCTACCCAAGAATAAATTTAACTCATTTCAGTCATCCTTCCTTCTTGTTTTAGAAAAATAAATATCCCTTTGTTTAAGTTTAATTCTTCCAGTAGTTCTCTGGGTTCTTCAATGGCATAGTAAGAATTACTACTCTTATTCTCACCTTCCTCAAAATAGAATCAATAATAATTATTCTTACTTCCTCTCCTGTATACTTCTTAACCCAGTGCAATCCGGTTTCTACCATCATCAGACCAATGAAATAAATATTTCCAAAGTCATCAGACCTAATTATACTTGATTTATTTACATTGATTATTCTCAGAGTTTTAAAATTCTCTCTCCCTTGATTCATTCAGCTCTTCTATGGTACTACTCTCTCCTCTCTTCTTGTTTTACTTCTGTTTCTCTAGTTGTTGATGAAATGTGATCAAATACATAAAGAGGAGCCCATATAGGATATCATCTCTACCTAAATTTTAAATGTTCTGTCTCTCTTCTCACCATATACTTTATTTCTTAGCACTTTCCTCTATACTTGAAGCTTCAATTGACAATTGATCATCATTTTTTAAATCTCCAATTTAGGCCTCTCCTGTACTGAATTCCATATTTATCTGCCTACTGGATCTCTCCATTTGTTTTTCCCCTGCAGGCACTTCTATTTAACTTGCCCAATGTCAAGTTCTTTGTCCTCTTGCATTTTACATCTCAATCACTATACAGCCATCATTCAGTTATCTAAGTAATAAACCCAAGTCTTATCCTAATCTTCTACATCTCTGTTATGGTGTCCAAAAATATGAAGCTTTGTCCTCTCTATGCCTAAAAACTCTCTTGAGTCTGCTCATTCTATCAGAATGCTACTACTTTATAAAGTTCAGACCCTCTTTTTGCCTTCCTTGAATTCCTACATTTGCCTCACAACTTGTCTCCCAGCCTTACTTTTCTTCAGCCTGCTCATCCTCTTGGCTGTCAGTGTGACTTCAAAAATGCAAATCTGATTATATCATTTCCTTGCACAAAAATTTTCAATGGCCCTCTAACTGTTCAATCCAAACATTTATTAAGCATCTACTAATCACTCATCTCTCAAAGAATCTCTTGAAAGTGTTATTATTGCAAACAAAGCCTCTAGTTGTGAAGCACTTCTTCACACTTACCTGATAACTAGCTATTCTAAACCATAGTTGTGTTTTCCTGAATGTGCCATGTTAGTCCCACAGCCTAGATCACCACCTTCTTTTTACACTTGATTGACTTGTTCTCATTCAAGACTTGGCTTAATTATGTAAGCATAAGGAGTGTTCCTCATCTGTCACCCTTTGTTCCCATCCATAAATTTGCACAGAAGTTCCTCTCTACAATCCTGGAATAGAAATAGTTTCTAATTGGTATTTTGTTTTTCTCTCTAGTCCTGGCTCCTAGTGTATTGAAAGCAAGGATCATTTTTTCATATTTATTTATCAAACCAAACATAGTGGCAGATGTATAATAAGTATTCAGCAAATGATTGTTGAATGGCCTAGGAATGACTTCTCAACACACTGCAGACAAGTTCATTTGCCAGCATTGCCAGATATTGTAATTGTACATACAACCCACTCATTGTCTTTCAGGCTTAGCTTAATTCAATGAATGCTTTAGACTTCTGTTTACTTTCCTCTTAAGAATAGACAATTCTTTTAAAAAACAAAACTTTATTGTGTAAATTTTCAAATATAAGCAAAAGTGGAGAGTATAGGACAATGAACTCACTGATATCCATCGCCCTCCCTTATCAGTTTCCTGATATTCTTATTTCATTTATATTCCTACTAGTTCTTTTTCTGGAGTATTTTACAGCAAATTTGGGTAAATCATACTGTTTTGCCCATAAATAGTTCGGTGTATATCTCTAGCTAGATAGACACGTTATTTAAAACAAAGCACAATATACTCCTTGATTTTATTCTAAATATAGACTTTTCTTATGTTTTTACATACCAATTTAGGCATCATAACATAAATAATCCTGCCACTTTCATTAAAATGTCTGACCACTAGTCAGCCTTCTTTCAGGCTTTACGTGGATTTTTTTTTTAAACACTCTTCCTGAGCAGGGTGGGGGTTTTTTATTTTCTGATTGTAAGTTACGTATTAGTATTAATTTTATCCTCTTAACTTTTTTTTTTTTTTTTGGTGGTACTGGGGGTTGAAATCAGGGCCCTTGCTTGGCTTTACCACTTGAGTCACATCTCTAGACCTTTGTGCTTTAGTAATTTTTCCAATAGGGTTTCATGTTTATGCAGGGGCTGCAGTCCTCCTACTTACATGTCCCATGTAGCTGGAATGGCAGACACATGCCACCACACCCAACTACTGGCTGAGAATGAGATCTTTCAAACTTCCCCCGTCCCTGCTGCAGGCTGGCCTCGAACCACAGTCCTCTCAATCTCCACCTCCTGAATGGCTGGAGTTACAGACCCTCTTAATTATTTTTAAGTTATTTTTAAGCTACTTATTTTTAAAACTACATTCAGTAGTGTTAAATACCTTCATATTGTTGTGCAAACAATCTCCAGAACTCTTTCCATCTTATAAAACATTGTGTACATTAAACAACTTCTCACTACTCCCTCCCCAAAGCTCCTGGGAACTAGTCTGCTTTTTCTGTCTATGAATTTGACTATTCTAGATACTTCATAATATGTGCAGTCAAATATTTGGAAGACAAACGTATTTGTCTTTTGTGATTAGTATATTTCACTTAGCATAATGGCTAAAAGGTTTATCAATATTGTGTGTGTCAGTATTTCCTTCCTTTATAAGGTTCAATAACATTGTGCTATATGGATGTACCACATTTTGTTTATTCATTGCCTGTCAGTGAACACTTGGGTTAGTTCCACTTTCTGTGAATAATGCTGCTATCAACATGGTTGTACAAACGTCTCTTTGAGGCCCTGCTTTCAGTTCTTTGGGGCACATACTAAGAACCGGAATTGTTAGAATCCACTTGGAAAATGGTAATTCTATTTTTAGTTTTTTGAGGAACCAAAACACTGTCGTCCATAAAAACACCATTTTAAATCCTCATCAACAGTGCACAAGGGTTCCAATTTCTCCAAATCCTTGCTGACACTTTTTTTGTCATTTTTGTTTTTGTTTTAATAGCTATGCTGACAGATACAGGGTTGGATAAACATGTTTATAAATGTTACTACACTCTCAAATCAAAATTTTAAAAAATTTCCTCCATATCATCTAATAAAGAAGGATTTTCTAACATGTTCTTTCTACAGTCTTCCCATACATTTCCTCAAATCAGAAGCTTTGGGCCACCGTTGATTCCTCTCTTACTCTCCTAGCTCACATACATTTCTTAAGAAGATCAAGGACCCCGTACGTTCCCACCCTTCTAACCACTTCCACCACTCTTTCTCCTGAGTTGTTTTAGTAGCCTTCTAAGAGGTCTTCCTCTTGTCATCCACTTTTGCTTCTCTTCATTCCATTCTGAACAAAGCAACCAGCATGGTCTTGTTAAAACAAATCTCAGACTGCAAAGACCTCTTCCTCAAGCCTTCCCCATTTCATATGCAGAGTAGCTGAAATCCTTTCTATGCCTGTGAGGCCCTGTGAGGTCCTATCTAAGCTGAATTCAAGTTACCTACCTGAATGTGTAATGTGGCTCAGTTAAAGGGCCTTTCTCATTTTGGGAAGTACTGGGATTTGAACTCAGGGCTTTGTGCTTGCTAGGCAGGCACTCTACCAATTGTGTCATGCCTCTAGCCCATAAGGGCCTTTGCACTTAGTGTTCTCTTGTCTAGCATGTTCTTTCATCAGATGTCTGCTTGATCTACTCTCTAACTCCCGTGCATGATCAGCTTCACAGGAAGGCCTTCTCTTAATACCTTTTCCAAAATGGGTATCAACCATCTCACAAGAATTCTCTAATCCCCTCTCCAGTTTTATTTTACTCTATATGTAAATACTATGTATTGTATTTATTTGTTTTTCTGCCCACCATCATTAAAGTATAACTTCACATGGGAAAGGGCTTTTAGCTAAAAACCCTTGATACATAATTTGGCTAAATATGTAACTGTTGAATGAATATGCTTCAGATCTCTCTCTATGTATATTTTTATGGTTGCTCTTCAGATCTGCCTAACAATTCTAAAAGCAAAGTGAAAGAATGCACATCTTTCCAAAGCAAAAAGACTGGCATAAATTGGACAGATGATGAAAAAAGAATCTACAGGGATAAAAGAATAGCTCAAACTCAAGAAATATTAGAATATTTGCTACCTATCATGGAAAGCCCTAAAACTAGGGAAACCACTCAGATATTCAATCCAAGAACCAACTACAAAATCCAACATCAGTAAGTCAATACAATTTTGTCATTCTTATGTATTTATTCATTTGTTCATTTACTCATTATTTGCCTTGCTGGGGATCTAACCCAGGCCTGTGTGCATGCTAAGTAAGTGCTCTATGGCTTAGCCACACCCATGCCCATTCCTATCTATTTCATACATTGTTTTATGAAGGAAGCAAGACTTATTGATTCATTACCCTACAAAAAAAGTAGGCTTTGAAAATGGTGTCTGCTATACTCCATATGAAAAGAGATTAGGTCCAAAGCCAGAAGAAAACACTATGTATGTGAAGAACTTAAGTTATTGGCCTTATTTGACTAGTTATTTGTTTTAAGTTGTACCTATGAATAAAATATGCATAAATAAAGCATGATCATAACTTGACTTAAAATTTTTCAGGTTTTTAAACTTTGTAATTCTAAGGGAAAACCAGAATTATAAATTATCTGAGCTACTTCAATATATTGATATTCAGAGAAAGCAAAAAGATTAAGACTAGATTTCTTTTAAAGATGAAAAGTAAAACCATCTCTAAGGCCAAAAGGAAATCCAAATAAATAAAACTAAAGCTGAAAATAATAAATATAATATTATCAGCAATTTTTATAAAGTATTTTGTATATGATAGACGTTGTTCTAAGTTACATATGTACACAGTTGGCCCCCTATATCTAAGGTTTCCACATCCATGGATGCAGCTAACCTTGGATCTAAACATATTTTCAATCTATGGTTGGTTAAACCTGCAGGTGCAGAATTCACAATATAAAGAGCTAACTGTATGCTTTACAGTTAGCTCTTTATATTTTCTTATTTTACACATAAGAAAACTGAGATACAAAGAGGTTAAGCCATTTCCCCAAAGCCACACAATCTAATAAGCAGCAGAATTTGGATTCAAACTCAGCTAGAATCTCTGATTCCAAAGTTCTTCAGTGTGATTTGTATTTATCTTTATAATATTAATGAAAAACAGGACCAGTATATTTAATATATAAAGAATGTCTATAGGCCAATTAGAAAATTATGAATATCTTCATAGAAAATGGGCAAAGTCTATGAAAGAGCAATTCACAAAGGAAAAAATACAGCAGACAAACATTTAGAAATGTTCAAGCTCACTAAAATCCAGAGTACAGATCAAGACAGTTATAAAATACCATTCAGTTTTTGATTTTCAGTAGAATTCATTTACTGATTGTGGGAACAAACTGGTATGGAGTTTCTCAGAGAAAAATCCAACAATATATCTCTTTGTCTTGTTTTGACAGTACTGGTATTTGAACTCAGGGCCTCACACTTGCTAGGCAAATACTCCACCACTTGAACTACGCCTCCAGCCCTTTTTGCTCTAGCTTGTTTTAACATAGTGTCTCATGTTTTGGCCCAGGTATACCTCAAACCACATTTCCCCTACCTCAGCCTCCCAAGTAGCTGGGATTACAGGAGGGAGCCACCATACCCGGCTTTGGTTTCTGTGTGTTTGCGTGTGTATGCATGCGTGTGTGTGTGTTTGTGTGTGTGTGTGCGCGTGCATTTGGTTCTGTGGAATGAACCCAGGGATTTACACATGCCTAAGCACATGCTGTGCCACAGAGCTATACCTCCAGCTCCCACACATTTATTTGGACTAAAATTCCACATTAGAAATTGATTCTAAGGTAAAAACTAAGTAAGGGCTAAAAGGCTTATGTAAAGTTAAATTCATTTCAGTATTGTTCATAACAGTAAAAATAGGCTATGTAACAGTTTGATTTAGTATGTGTATATTATGTGCACTCAGAGATACATATATCTAGAAAAAACTATTAGCTATTATCTTTAGATAATTAAAGTATTGGTGGGGAATATAATTCCTACTTACACAATTTTTCCTAAAGGTTTATTAATGGATATTTTCATAATATAATCAGCAAAATCAGTAGGATTATAAAAATGGTCAATTGATGGTAGTTTCTAGTGGAGTGGGATAGTAGTCACTGCTGGGGAAGGCAGTGTCTGATAGGAATTGAGTCTAATAGGTCAGTTAATATGAGAGAAGCAATTTATAGTGTAGGACCAACCAAACAAGGGATCAGTTATACCATTAGTAAAATCATAACTCAGGAAATTAACAACAATATACCATAGACCTAGGCAAACAGGCTAAGAAGTTGAGACTCTAGAGATAAGCAAGGGCTTTGAGTAACAATTAGGACGTAGCTTGATTTTTAGTCATTACTTTCCTAAGAATCCTTATAAACTTTGAACTTGGCAATGCACTCAGTTGTGCACTGGCCTGAGCCTGAAGGTGTTGACAAATAGTAGGTTGTATTAAGATCTCTTTGTTTACAAACAACAGAAACCAATTCAAACTATCTTAATTAAAAAGCACAAAGTAAAGGTATGAAGAAAGAAGTATAAGAAAACAAAAGGCTATTCATGGAAACACAAGCAAAGGGAATTCAGCCAGGCTTCCCTGGCTAGGACTAGGGAGTGGAAAACTACCAGGGCTCTTTATCCATCGACATCTATGTTGCTCTCTCTGCTGAAAACTTCACTTCTCTCAGCTCACAAATTTGCATCCCATAGCTGTTTGCTTACAAGACCAATTCACCATCTCTCATTCCCAATTCTAAATTATAAGAAAAGATAATTTGATTGACAACCATGCCAGTGGGTAAAGGAAACAGAACTACATACATGGCTATTGTAAGCCCTGCCCTTGTGGACTTAGAGGCATTCACCAGAGAAGGGCAAATTGTGCTTAGGGCAAACAACCCCTTCTATAGGTACACATGGTACTATTGAAAAGTAGCAAAGCAGCAAGCAGGACCATTCTTAGCAGTAAGTTCTCTCTGCATACTGTTTATCATCAGGCTAAGGCATGACTCAAGTGATGAGTGCCCACTCAAGCAAGCCTAAGACCCTGAGTTCAAACCCCAGTACTGGAAAAAAAAAAAAAGCCATAAACAATGTCAAGCAGATATTTTTCACTTTTACAACTTACTTCTTTTGGGATGCCTTTTCTGTGTTCTGTATATTCTCTGACTGGCTCAGCTATTTTATATACTCTTACCTATAGAAAGTGATTATAGTGTAAAGGGAGAATAAACAAAGAACAAGAAGATCGTATCAAGGCTAGATGCAGTGGCTCAAACCTATAATCCTAGCTACTCTGGATGCAGAGATCAGGAAAACTGCAATTTGAAGCCAGCATGAGCAAAACGTTTACAAGCCCCTATCTCAACCAATGGCTGGACACAGAGGCATGCACGTGTCTCCCCAGATACACAGGAAAGCACAAATAGGAAGATCGTCACCAGACCAGCCTGGGCATCGAAAAAGACTCTCAAAAATAACCAAAGCAAAAAAAATGGGGAGCTGGAGGTGTTGCTTAAATGGTAGACCACCTGCCTAACAAACACAAGGCCATGAGTTCAACTCCCAGTACCACCAAAAAAAAAAAAAAAAAGCAATCATAATGTTGAACATTAATCTAAGTTTGAGCTACAGGGAGACTAATTACTGAAAGAAGATTACATATATTTAACATCTGAATGTAATTATAGTATTGGAATTTAGATTGTACATTCTGCTTTTAAGCCAAAATGAATAGGGTCTAGATGGATTGCTAATCAATAGCAAGATGATTTATATCCTTTAAGTGTATCTCTGGTCAAACATTGGTCAGAGTTCAAATATTGAGGAATATTGAACTCTCATGTTTGAACACCTCATGTTTGGTGTTCCATTTGGTAGTAATGAGAATTTTTTAGAAAGATTATGTAAATCAGAATGTAATTAGAGATATTTTCATGTCTAGATGAGGTAGACACAGTCTCCATATTCTTTGTACTAAAACCCTAGAACATAATATATAAGCTAAACATAAGACAACTCGAAAAGGTGGAGGAAATAGGGAACAAGCTAGGGACTTCATAATGAATCAGGTGGTGAATCACTTGAGTTTTCTTTATACCTCAATACCCAGGACTTGGAGCTGATGAAGCCAGCAACTTAGAAACACCAATAGACACAGACACATGAACAAAAACTCCAACAAAAGCCTGGCTATATAACCAAAGGACCAGGAAAGTGACAGCCTACCAAGATAAAACTTTTAGACAAAACCACCCTACTCTATTTAAACACTAGATAAACAGTGACCCCACTCCCACCTGGGAAAACAGAGAAAATATGAGGTGTGTAGACTTCCACTTATATGAAGTACAAGAGGCTTCTCAACACCCCTATTAGGATGATACCAAAGAATAATAAGTAGAAGCCAGAAATTTTGCTCCATTGTCCTCCTAAAAAAGCAAGGACTTACTAGAAGTTATAGAGGAAGTCTAGACTTCCATGTACACTGGGCTGGTATCAGAAGAGGCCTAGTGGAAAGTTAGGACCTTTCACCAAGCCCGTCAGCAATGAAGCAACCCCTACCAATGTCAGTAGTGGCTGCATAAGGAGATGGAACTCCTATCCTGTCCCAACACTAACAAGGAGCCTCTCCTTTCTGCTGTCAATAGGGAACCTGGACTTCTACTACCTGGCAGTAATGAGGTGGGGGTGTTATTTGTATGAGATAAGGGTCTTGCTGTGTAGCCCAGGCTGGCTTTGAACTCACAATCCCCCTGCCTCAGCCACCTGAGTACTGGGATTACATGCACGAACCACTACATCTGGCTCAATAAAGAGGTTTTACCCCCCCCACACACACACACATGCACACACACACACACACACACACACACTTCTCTTGCTGGAGCAGAGTCATAAAAAAGCAGCTTAAAAAAGGCTTTAATTAAGATCTAGAATATCATAACATATGAAAATATCTATGTTTTAATTAAACATAACCTAACCATATTAAGTGCCAGCAAGGCCTAAAACTTTTTTA